GTGCTATCGGAAGAGCAATAAACAAGACACGATCTGCTTTATTTACTATTGATCACATAACCTGGAAGCTTAAAATACAGCTGGAATAGTCATAATCTGAACAAGATAAAGTGAAAAGCAAATATGACAACTGAAAAAAAAAACCCCAGAGATTCTAAACATTGCTGTTGCTACATGAAATGCTACATAGCAGGGTGCTAGAAAACAGTGAGGGGTCCCAGCTCCTTCAAGTCCAGGGCCGCCTGCCCTCCACCCTCTCATCTCAGGCGTGCTGCCTAATCGCTGGGGTTTTAGCTTCCTCCTCTGTGAAACGGGGGTTCTGTGGAGATTGATACGCTTCAGTATCTGCAAAGCACTTATATCAGTGCCTGGCATGTGGTCCGTGGTTTGTGCTTGCCTTTATTATCACACAAATGAATTCGATATCAAGGTAGCAATTAAGAGCCAACTTCTCGCAATAGCTTCTTGGGGTGTATTTTGCTCTTTATTCAGTTTATTTATTTATCCATAGATAAAAATGCAATAAGTACTTCTCGTTCATGTAGTCACACATATTCCTCGACTGCCTGCTATGTGGGAAGCAGTGTGCTCGGTGCCACTTAGTTATGTACGATCTGGAGAGCAAGTCTCTCTGCTGGGGCCTTTGAGGCTGTAAGGGGATCATGCAGATCATTTGCACTAGGCTCTCTCCTGAGCGGTGGGATATAAGCTGGGTCTGCCCCCACCACCTGCACGCGACACATCACATAGATTTCATTCTCCTCACAGTTTCCCTGCTGGCCTGTGACATTCACCACATTGGCCTTGCTCCTTGGGAAGCAGGGAAGTGAGGATAAGATGCTCCGGTCCAGCCCTGGTAGTCTCCAGCCTAGAAAGGAGCACCATGCACCACCAGAGCACCTCCTGTGTGTCCCCTTTCTCAGCTGCTAGTGTTGCTATGAATGCTCGACTCCAACCCCTCTTCCCGTGGCGGGTGGAATGTTTACAAGACGTACTGAAATAAGCATTGCCTTCTACCTGAGGATGTGTCTCATGACCCCCTGCCTGCAAGCATATCCACTCTTCTTTAATTACTGGATCCTGATTTTTCTTGGGAACCACACTGTTTCCGTGAATGCTCCCAAGAGGTTCTCTGCCACCGCTCCGCTCCCACTGCCCGGGCCTCTGGGGAATTTCCGCACCAGCTGCAGACTTGCTCCCTCCTCTCTCTAAATTTCTCCTGTGACAAGATGCTTATCGCTTTGCATCAGGTTGCATCATATGATGTCAGAAGGCTGAAACAAAACAAAGTCTTTTCCCTGGGGCACTGGGCACTGACAACAGGAGACTTGTGGGAGGGCTGGTTGTGGGCTTTCAATTGCAGAACATCTACCTTCGGCTTTGAATAATCCTTTCGATCCACCTCCCAGGCTGTATTTCTTTCACGGATATTAAAAACACGCCCTTTTTTCTTAGGTGTTTTCTGAGGCTTAAAATTTATTTTGCTTGTATAATAACATTCAAGGGTCAGCACACTACTTGATTTTGTGTTCCTCCTAGTCCAAGGATAGATGATTAAAATACCATCAACAATAGGTATAGGAGCACATTGTGGAAAACTTCACCCCAGAATTAATATCCTACTGATGACAGCCCTGATTGCGAGAAAAAAAAATCACTTGTGAAAAACTTTTATGGCATCAGATATTTTGAAATAAAAATTTATATGTAAACAATGTATGTGTTGTTTTGTTTAGAACAAAGGCAACAAGCCTTGGCTGGGTAGTTCAGTTGGTTAGAGCATCCACCCAATGTGCCAAGATTACGGGTTCGGTCCCTGGTCACATACAAGAATTAACCAATGAATGCATAAATGGAACAACAAATCAACCCCCCCTCCCCCACTTTCTCTGTCTCACTCTAAAAAAATGAATACATAAAAATAAAAAACAGAGGCAACACTATGTCATGAACTTTACTTTTTTTTTTATTTTTTATCATGATTTCTTCTGCTGGTGCTCTTTGATTAAATGTCAGGACAGAGCCTCTACCTCCTATTGGCACTGTTTCTCCAGTGAGACCCTGGTTGACATGACAGGGTAAATGTTTGAGGGAACTGCTAAGATGCTCTGTCAGAGGCCGAGGTTCAGCTGTGCTGTCCTTGGGAGAAGCTCTGTGGGCAGGCTTTAGAATGCTAAACTTCTCTGAGTTCCAGAAGCACACACACACAAACACGGGGAAATAACGCACATGCCCTGATCTGTCTCCCTAACTCACAGTCCTGAGATAAGCAAATATAAGATCGTGTTAGTCCAGTGCTTTCCCCCATCAATAATTTTTCCACTGATGGGGAAATCAGACCCTCCTGAAACCTTCGGAGCTGAGGTCCCCTGCGTGACTTCCACTCCCCTCTCTTAGGCCCACTTTCTTTGAGGGGACTCCCCAAGAGAGAAGATGAGGGAAGACAGGATTGGGGATCCCATCTTATGCTCATTTCTCTTAAGATAATCTAGAGTTTTCCACTGTGTTTGAAGACATTTTCTCAACTACATTTCATACATAAGGCAACTGGTTCCAACGCTGGTGGGAAAATTATGACAGGCAAAGGAGAATAATCATGTGTGGACAGTGACCCTGGTTCTGTTTGCCTTGGTTCTGAGCATCTGGGAGAGCTGAATCCCCCACCTGGGGGTTCTGGCATGAGGGCAGGGAGTCTTGGGTTAGCTACCACCCAAACGATCCAGTCTCACAATTCTTGACTTGTTCAGTCTGTGGACGATTAGTGAGTCCACCAAAAGTTGTAGAATAAACCCTGACAGGGATCAGATTTTATGTGCTCTGTGCGGGGGCTGCAGTCAGAGCTTCCTGCTGTCTGCTGACTTCCATCCTCCCTCTCTGTCCCCCTCTGAGCATGAAGACCTTGTTCATGCCCTGCTCAAAGCTGTGGCTGCCCATTTCGTGGCATCTTCCTGCTCAGCCTGTTTCCGTTCCATGTCCTACACATCTTGTGTTTCTCTCTGTTCTCTAGCCACATGGATTTCCTCCACTTCCTTAAAGACATGGTCTTGTAGCCTCTGGCCCCTTGCAGATGCTATTCCCTTGGCTGGAGACACTTCACTTCCTCGTGAACCAGGTGATTTCCATGGATTATTCAAAGCTCATCTCAAACATTACTTCCTTAAAGAAACTTTTATGCACTTCTTCTTAGATTAGACAGATTGGCCTGTGTTGTGCATCTCAGTGCTACACTGATGTAATTTTATGCTTTGCATCTCCTGTTGTATTACCTTCTTCCTTCTCAGCCTGGACAGCCACTCGTCCTGGGGGTGGGGGAAGAGAGTGCTCAGCAATAATGCAAAGAACAGGTTTATTCATAGACATAAAAGTTAGCAGCTTTGGGCATGCTAACTAACATATTTGAGTGCACAGATATATGCAAGGCCCGAAGGCTAAACTTTATGAACAGAGAAAAAGATTTCCCAAGTTTGGGATCTCCCTTCTTGATATATGCAAAACTAGGCAAAGCAGATATGTGCAAGGAAGGTGTTGATTAAACAGAGAGAAAGGGGTGAGCATGTCTGATCCCAGTAAATTGTGCAGCACAGAAGGCAAAGCAAAGCAACCTAAAGGCAGCTGAGTGCACATCAAGATCCAGGTCCACCCCCAACCTGGGGCCTGCTCTTCAGGGTTGACAGGGCATGAGGTTGGAGTGTGGGGGTTAGAGTCCCATGAAAAAAATCTAGACATATCCAGAGTACTCTGTCCAGAGTAGACAGCTTTGCAATGCTTCTCACTGAGGACTTGGGGAGTAGACCTTGTAGTTGCTGTCCCAGCTCCAACACCTGGTGGTCATATCAGTTTACAGTGAATACACGGCACAGAGATAAAGGGAGTTTAGTGTCCCAGTGGCCAGTGGCATGGAAAACATCAAGATATTGCCCTCGGTCTGTGGAGGGAGCGGATGGTAGCTGAGAACTGTCCAAGAGTATCTCTGTGGTGAAGGCTGCCTGAACCGAGACTCCAACAGAAGCCATGAGCAAGTTCATGTGCAGGGAGAGAGAGCCAGAGAGCCAGGGAATGGCTGGTGTCTTCCAGGAGAATTTCTGAAGTCTAAGAGACTACTCATTGGCCAGCCACAGACTTTAACTGTGAATGGGAGAAGGGCATTAGAATGAGTCACCTGGGACAGCTAAGACCGAGGGTTCAGCAACCTGGGAAGATTAGGTAAAGCCCAGAACCTGAACGTATTAGTGGTCAGTACATTCATAGTAATGGCTCTGCATTCATATCTGCATTTTAGTCTTGCATGCAAAGTATGTAACAGTTGGTACATTATTTAAACTCTGCAAGCCTCAGGATTTTCACTGGCAAAATGTTTTTGTTGTGAAAAGGTGATGAGTTCAAGCAAGTGGAGCAGTGAGCCCAGTGCCCATTGGACAGAAGGAAGCACAGTGATGTTCACCATTGTTCTGTTAGTACATTTCACTAAGACTATTTTTTAGAGCAGTTTTAGGTCCACAGAAAAATTGAGGTGAAGGTACAAGAGTGCCCATATTCCCTCTGACCTCACACATTCACAGCTTCCTCCTTTATCAACCTACTCCACCAGAACCTACACTATTGCCTAGAGTTCGTATAGGTTACATTAGGTTCATTCTTGGTGTTGTACATTCTTTGGGTTGGGAGAAATGCGTAATGACCTGGATCCATCCTCACAGTATCTTCTAGACTCCAGAGTATTTTCACTGCTCTAAGAGCCCCTGTGTTCCACCTGTTCATGTTTTCAGAAGGTAAGCTTCATGATGGCATGTACGTCTTTTCCACTAATAGATCTTCAGTGGTCCCCACAATGGCATATGTGTAATAGGGGATTAACACATGTTTGTTGAAAACATGTAAAAATGAATGAAGGTAAAGTTTTAAGCTAGAACAAAATGATAACAACAACAACAACAACAACAACAACAAAAAAGCCACCTGGCAGGGTCTGGGGAAGGGGCGGCAGGTGCCATGCAGGTGCCATGCTGGGCTGCGAAGGTGGCAAGAAGTCCCTGAAGCAGCCCAAGCAGCAGGCCAAGTTGATGGACGAGGAAGGCGAAGCATTTGAGCAGAAGCAGACGGAAGAGCAGAAGAAATCTGAACTAAAAGCCGAGGCCACGGGGAAGGGCCCCCAGGCCACAGGTGGAATTAAGAAATCTGCCAAAGAGCGAGCTGTTCCTCGTGCCTGGGGCAAGGGTGATCCTTAATTCCACTGTTTGAACATCTGGATTCCCTGCCCTCACATCTCTTGCCACCTATGTAGAATGAAATGTTTTCCTGGCTGTTGTATATTTAAGAATAAACTTTTGTAAAATAATAATAATGATGATAATAATAATAATAATCATGCAGTGACTCACCCCTTCAGTTCCTCTCGCTCTGCCGTTTCAGCCTGAGCTGTGAGGTCAGAGTAAACCCTCCCAGAAGCCTGCCCAAGTGTGTTCTTCAGTCTTTGTTCTGTTCGGAATTCTGTTCCAGCTGGAATGAAACCAACTCATTTGGAAAACAAATAAATAGCCTTATATCTGTGTTAAGAGCACACAGAAAAATACTAAAAAGTAGAAAAAAAGAACTATTATCAAGAAGATCACTCATCACAACATATGTTAAATATAAAATATATTAAACTTCCATAACAAAAGATAAGATTCACGTATTAAATTTTATATACATACATATTCTGAAAAACATAACACAGAAAATATAAAAATAAACTGACGAACAAAGAAATATAAGACAAATAGAAAGAGCCCAAAATAGTAAAATGACAACCAGATGAAAAGGGAAAATAAACAGCAAGGGACAAAGTGGGCTACTTTAAATTGATTTTTTAAAGTACAATTCATTATGAAAATATAATAGCCAGGAATATTTATGAGCCAGACAAAAGTATTAAAAGATATCAAGTAAAATAGTCAGAAACACAATAAGAAATTGGCAAAGAACAGTTAGAACATGTTAATAATTTTTCTGTTCTTTGCATGTGTTAAATAGACAAATGTTGTAGAGAAAAATCAAATAATGTAATTAATATATTTTATTTACTCAACATTTATAAAAATTATGTTATCTTCTAATGTCTATTATACATTTAAACATTGATCATAGCATGTGTCTCAAAAAAAGAGCTCAATAACTTCCCTGGACCATATTTTCTGACAAGACCAATAGAATTAAAGGGATAACAAAAAGTTCAATGTAAAAACTAAAGCCATGTGGAAATCAGAAATACTCCCTAAGTAATCCTTCAGTAGCAGAGAAAATTAAAACTGAATAGAGATTGTTAGGAGATAACAGTGCAAACATCACACACCATAATATATGGGATGCAACCTAGATTATGCTAGAAGAAAATGTTGTAAGTTTTAAAAAATTTTATCTATAAATAAGAAAAGATTCAAATAGGTAATCCAATCTGCTCCAGAAGTAAAACAGACATAGCAAACCTTAATGAAAACTTGAGTAAGAAACTAATAAAGATAGAACAGAAATTAATGAATGAAACCAGAAAACCTATAAAATAAATATAGTAATTCAAAACCAGATTTTTTTTTTTTATCCTCACCCGAGGATATTTTTCCATTTTTTGTACAGATAGAGTGGGAGGGAGAGAGAGGAAGGGAGAGAGAGAGAGAGAGAAACATCGATGTGAAAGGGACACATCGAGTGGCTGCCACCTGCACGACCAACCAGGGCCAGGGACAAACTGCAACCGAGGTACATGCCCTTAGCGGGAACCAAACCCAGGTCTCTCTGTACTGCAGGCCGACGCTCTAACCACTGAGCCAAACTGGCCAGGGCCAAAACCTGATTTTTAAAAATGATATATTACTCGGCCAGTGTGGCTCAGTGATAGACCGTTGACCCATGCACCAAGAGGTCGCCAGTTTGATTCATGGTCAGGGCATTTGCCCAGATTGTGGGCCAAATCCCCAATGGGGGACATGCAGGAGGCAGCCCATCGATGTTCTCTCATCAGTGTTACTCTCTTTCTCTCCCTCTCTCTAAAATCCATGAAGAAAAAAAAAAGAGAAATATTAACAGCGACAAATCTTTGGCAAGGTTAAGAGAAAGAGAGAAAACATACAAATATTCAGTGTTAAATAGAGAACAGGAAGGGGAGACATGCAGGTAACAGTGAGAACACAGAGCCTCCTAACTGAGCGAGACTGATGACCTCAGCTTGACCCCTTCACACCTGTGATCCCAGGGAGCCTGCCTAGCCTCCTGGTGCCTCAGACCACTCTCTCCTCCCCACAGTGCATTGCTGTTGTAAAAGTACCCGGAATGGGATTTTAAAGAAAATCTACGTGCGTTTGTTAAATAAACAAAAAATATGAAGAGGAGATTTTCAAACTAAAACAATACTATGCAGAAACAAACAAACAAACAAAAACACCCAAAATAGTACTATGCACAGCCATATGATAATTTTGAAACTTAGCTGAAATGAATGAATTTCTAGGAAAATATATTTACCAAATATAACATAAGAAGAGGCAGAAAACTTGAGCTTCAGAAAACACTAAAAACATTCTAATAGAAATATACTTCTGTTGGTTTAAAAAAATTATTCATTCATCTGTTTAACAAATATTGATTAATTTCCTATTATGTACATCCTACTACTTTTATTCTAGTAAAGATGACATTTTTTATACCCATTTTTTAAAATGTCAAAACTAATCTGTACCTTTTCTTTTAAAAGAGGAAGGAGAAGAAGAAGGAGAAGGAGGAGGAGGAGGAGGAGGAAGAGGAGAAGAAGGAGAAGAAGGAGAAAGAAGGAGGGGGGAGGGAACCAATCAACTGGTCAAGATAAAAAGCCAATGGCTTCATCTCTTCTCCTCAGTCCCCCATTTTTGCTCTATATCTTTTAAAATGTTTATCTACCTACCTACCTACCTACCTACCTACCTACCCACCCACCTACCTACCTATTTCTGTCTGTCTAATTTATATGTGCATGTGTCTGTATTCAGCTTCCATAGGATAAGATTATCCATTTTCTCTGATACTTGTTTCTTTCACTTTATGTATGTCCCTCCATGTCAGCACATAGTATTTTAATTACGCAAGTTTTATTCTCTTCAAAACAAGGTGAGTGGTTGAACAGATAGCAAGGCAAATGTAATGCCGTGTCACTCACCCCTACCATTTGAAGAAGAGTGATCCAGGGCCAAGCTTTCTTAGATTATTTTAAAATTGTGAGTTTTCTCAGCTTTCTACAGTTGCTGCTGGTTCATTCCTATCATGTTGTCCTCCTGTATTTTGTGTTGTGGAAGCTTTTAAAATTTTTCTTTTATGTTTGCTGTTCTTAAACTTTATCAGGATGTATCTAGGTGCGAATGTGTTTTTCCTTCATCCTGTTTTGTCCTTGTTGGGCCATTATATAAGAAACTTCAGCTGTGGAAAATATGCTTCAATCATTTCTCTTACTGTTTCTCTTCACTAACATTTTTGTTCTCTATTTGAAAAAAATCTCTATTAGACAGTTAAATATCTTGCAAGACAATTTTTTATTTGTTTATATGTGTATTTAATTTTTCTTTTAGATCTGGGAGATTGTTTGACTCTATTTGCTGGCTGAATGGTCTCCACAGTGACAGAGAGCCCTCATCTAGATAAGCAGCTTGGTATTTCAATAAATTTTTGTTTTTCCAATCCTATTCTAATTACCAATACCTCCTTCTTTTCTATGAGTGCTATTTTCTTTTTCTCTTCCTCCCCTTTCCCCCTCCTCCTTCTTCTAATTGTAGCCAAATCTAATTTTATGGGTGCAATTTCCTCTCTAATCTCTCAGGATCAAATTAAATTAGTATTAGTATTAGTACTCCTGTTTCCTCTCAGGTGAGCTGTTTCATTTGGTCACTGCTATCATTATCTTCCAGTCTGGTATTTTCCTTCTGTCTCGGGTGGCCCTTGGTTTGGTTCATTTTTATGAATGAAGGCCCAGGTTGATTGACATAGGCGGTGATTTTGGCTTTCCTCTGTAGTACGCACATCTGTTTCCTGAGCAGACCTCTTCCTTGAATGGCTAACTACAGGCCCCATATAAGTGGGTGAGGCATCAACAGCAGGAAGAACAAGCAGCAGACATCCTGGGGACCTCCTCCTTCCCCACGCCCCTCCCGGGCTGAGTGCCAAAGCGGGGCAGTTGTTCCCTGAGAGCTGATAACACAGCACAGAGATGTCCTAGCTTACTTGCTTGGTCCATTGACTTCTTCGTTGTCTCAGATTTTTCACAGCAGCTCAAAGCCAAGAGGACTTTCTAACAGTCCTCTTCATAAGTAGCTAGGTCTAAGCAACTTATTAACTATTTATATACTAACAACTTAGTAGCTGTTTGAAAACTAATGCATATAAATTACAAGAGAAAATATTTCTCTTTTATGCTCCAGTAAGCCCCATTAGTTAGGAAGTGGGCTTTGGGGGACTGCACGATGCCTCTGATCATGCATTCCGATCTGATACCCTTTGCCACATTTTCTGTTCCACCTTGATTACCCAGTGGCACTTGTTTTGCATCATAGCAGTTGCTAAAGATCTTGCTTCTCAAAGATATGATATCATGGAAAGGAATGTAGTACACTCTCAAGTTGAAGCTATGAACTGCCTAACGCGAGCATTCTCGTGGTGTCTGTTAGCTTTGCAGGATGGCTGTGTTTACCCTGAAATTTTAAAACACATTAACCTTATGCGTACACCATGCGTCCTGGGGCTCCTTGCTGTATACTTCAGATCAGAGTTTTAGTAATTTCCCTTTTGGTGGCCTTGCTGACTCTTCTTTCTCATGTTCGCGTGAAGGTCTGTGGTTACTTCAGCTCTGATGTGTTTCTTTTAAGCCTCAAATACCTCACTGGGAAATTTGTTTTCTTTACAAACAGTGTCTGGGCTTTATCTTTGGGAGGAGAGTTTTCTCTGACTTGTATCTTTATACTCTATTTTGGAATAAGTAACTGGAGACTGATGGAGACCCACCTCCCTTCCCCAGTTCTAAATCACTTTGATTTTTGGCTCCTGGCGAAGTCTTTATGTTCTGGACTCTGAGTTCAATGCTTTCCCTAGAGTCACTTGGAAAATTTTCAACATATCTGTTCCTCTGCAGTGTCTGCTTTTTTCTTTTCCAGTACTGTTATGTTGTTATGTAAGTATTTATCGCTACCTTTTTTTAAACGAAAATTTAGAAAAAAGAAACAGAGTCATCTTC